TGCCCCCCACCCCTCCCTCCCAGTGGCCTTTCCCTCCCCCCAGTGCTCCCCACACCTCCCTCCCAGTGGCCTTTCCCTCCCCCCAGTGCTCCCCACACCTCCCTCCCAGGGGCCTTTCCCTCCCCTTGGTAAACAGTCTGCAGTGACGCGTCTATTTCGGGTTTGCTTGTTTTCATCCGGCTCATCTCCTGGACTGTAAGCTCCCGGGAGGCACCACTCCACCCGGGTTCCCAGCAGCGGGTGGGCCGGCCCACGTAAGGGTTGCCAAACTTCTGTGTTAAATGAACGGCCAGGGTAACGCAAGGTGAGAGGTGAAGCTGAAGGTGAGCAGAGGCCAGAACTCACCAGGAAAGAGTTTGGTCTTTTTTCCTTTAATTGGGATTTATTGGGGATTAATTGGGGTGACACTGGTTAATACAGCTATAGAGGTTTCAGGTGTGCAGTTGTATATTCCATCACCTCTATATTGGTCTTTGTTTTTGGAGACGTAGAAGGGACCCCAGGCACAAACGCCGTACAAAGAACCTTCTTTATTACTGACTTTTTAAATGTGACAACCCTGCAAAGTAGGGCCGCCCTGCCTCACAGGGGAGGCCGGAGGCTCAGGTCGGTGGTAAGCAGGTCAGGTGGGCAGAGCTGGGCGGTCCGGGCTGGGCTAGGAGACTGTCTGACCCAGTGCTTTACGTTCGCTGTTTGGACGCTCGACCTTTGACCCCTGCTCCTTCTTCTCCTCGCTGTCCAAGTGCTTCTGCCCTGACCTCCCTCCTCTGCGGAGCCCCAGCCGGTTCCCATGGCAGAGCTCCTTTTCGCTGGGCTCCACCATCCCTTGCAGGTTGTAAGGATGTAGGGGCCTGAGAAGTCGTGGAGGGCAAGGAGCCCACTGCTCCCTGTCCCAGGACCACAGCGGACACGACCAATCCACGGCAGACAGTGCCAATCCACAGCGACATTACCAATCCATGGCAGACACTGCCAGTCCATGGCAGGCATTACCAATCCACAGCCAACACGACCAATCCACGGCAGACACTGCCAATCCACAGCCAACACGACCACTCCACGGCAGACAGTGCCAATCCACAGCCGGCATTACCAATCCACGGCAGGCATTACCAATCCACAGCCAATACTACCAATCCACGGCAGGCATTACCAATCCACAGCCTATACTACCAATCCACAGCAGACATTACCAATCCACAGCAGACACCGCCAGTCCATGGCAGGCATTGCCAATCCACAGTAGCGACTGCTGACCCTTCCGTCCAGGCGCTGACCTAGAGCTTTACTTGAACTAGGGCCTGGGTCTCCCTGCAGCCCGAGGCATCTGGGTTCGGTGGATGCGGGTGGATAGGAGCGGACACGGGGCTCTCTGCAGCCCGAGGCATCTGGGTTCTGTGGGTGCGGGCGGGTAGGAGCGGACACAGGTCAGCCCGCGCACCGGGAGGGACGGGGGCGCAGCCTGACTGCGTGCTTGCCCCAGAGGACCTGTACACGGAGGCCTGGCTGCAGTCTGACCAGACGGCCCAGAACTTACAGCATCGGGAACGCGCCACCAGGAGGGCGGTCTCCGCGGCTGTGAAACAATTCAACAAGACCCAGGTAACCGCGCCCGGGGCGGGAGGACCAGCACCCACCGCTCCACCGGGCGCCAGGCTCCCTGGTCCCGGGCTCAGTCCGTCCTCTGGGCCACATCACGAACCGGAACCCTGACATGGCCGCGGGGGGGGGGGGGGGGGGTTCCCTCAGCAGGGCCTGTGCCCTCTCGCAGACTGGGACCCCTCGGGGGATGACCACCTGCTGGCTTAGGCTCCGGCCCGGCTCCTGAGCTCTGAATCCGGGTGTGAAAGCGCAAACCAGCGGCGAGTGGGGTGGGTCAGCTCCCCTTTCTCAGCCTCGGGTGCGTCTCTAACGTGAGGACAGTGACCTCTGCCCCAGGGGTGCCAGCGGGCACTGCCCTGCCGCCGTCTGGTTTCGGTTCTTCTTTACCAGCCTCAGAGTCCTCACCTGGGGCCGGTGCACAGCACTCTGGAGCGGGGCCACGGTGCCATGAGGGTGCTCACCGGGCGGTCTCCTGACCGTCCCCTGCTCCCTGGGCTCTGCCGGACCCTCACAGCACCCCTCTCCCGCCCGCCATGCGGAGGGCCTTCAGGTTTCCCGGTCCTTTGGAAATTAGACTTCCCTCCAGGCTTTCTTCTTTCTTTAATTGATTTCAGAGAGGAAGGGAGAGGGAGAGAGGGAAACATCAGTGATGAGACAGAATCACTGATCTTCTGCCTCCTGCACGCCCCCTATTGGGGGTTGGGGGTGGAGCTTAAACCCCGGCATGTGCCCTTGACCAGATACAAACCGGGATTCCTCAGTCCTCAGGCCGGTGCTCTATCCACTGAGCACACAGGCCAGGGCCAGGTGCCTGTATGCCCTGACCGGATGAGTTGCTTGAGCAGACAGCGGTCTGCACAGTGGAGCGTGGGAGATGGTCCCTGCAGAGCAGGAGGAGAACCTGAGCGCTGCTCACCTGGCTTCCCACCCTCATCATTTTTATCTGCTGTTTGGTTAATCCTCACCCAATGAGATTTTTTTCAATGATTTTCAGAGAGGGTGGGAGGGGGGAGGGGAGAGAAGAGGAGGAGAGAGACACACATCAATGTGAGAGAAACACATCAGTGGGTCGCCTCCAGAAGATGCCCCAACCGGGGTGGGGATCAAACCTGCAACCCAGGGACGTGCCCTTGGCCAGGAATGGAACCCGAGACACTTCGGTGTGTGGGCCGCCGCTCTAACTACTGGCATGCTGGCCAGGGGATCAAACCTGCAACCCAGGGACGTGCCCTTGGCCAGGAATGGAACCCGAGACACTTCGGTGTGTGGGCCGCCGCTCTAACTACTGGCAACCTCGTCATTGTTTTATACGTGTGTGCGCGCACACGTGAGAAAGAGTTGTGAAGCACATGCTATTTTTACGGCCTAATAGTACCATTTTGTAAGTGTGAGGTCGTGGGACTAAACCAGGTATGCACGTCACGTGTTGGAACCTCTGGCCTGTTGTCAGACTCATCAGCATGGCCTTTGTTTTAAATCCTGGCCACAGGCAGCTGCCCTCATTGGTCACTGTGTTCATCAGCCCTACGGAGGGCGGGGCCAGCCCAGCGTCGTTGATAGAGGGAGTCTTGGGGGGGCTGACTTCCTAGGGACGCCCAGCGCTGATCTGACCGGAGATGGGCCTTCCCGACCCAGCGAGCCCAGTGTCTGATCAGCCTTCCGTGCGAGGCAGGTGCTCATGCAGTGCCATCCAGCTGCCCCCTTCTGGGCGCCCAGGCGTGCCCGCACCCTGCAGAGAGCCCACCTGCCCATCGCTAGGGGACCCGGTAACGCTGGGGAACGTCCAGTCCACCTCCTGACTTGGCAGAGAAATGGCTGCAGCCAGAGAGGGAGGTGGCTGGCGCCAGGTCGCAGGGCCAGGCCGCCCCGCCATCGCCACCCTCGTGAGCAGGGGTTTGGCCAGGAGTTTCCTGGCTGCACCGGGAGCTCTGAGGTGACCGTGTGTTTCCCCCTTTAAGTCACTGCTGTTGCCAATCTCTCTGGGTGTTCCTTGTGGCCTGCGGGCACATCGGGGTGACCAGGGGCCACATTGGGTGACAAGGCCACATCGGGGTGACCAGGGCCACATCGGGGTGACCAGGGCCACATTGAGGTGACCAGGGGCCACATTGGGGTGACCAGGCCACATCGGGGTGACCAGGGGCCACATCGGGGTGACCAGGCCCAGGGCGGGGCACAGAGCGGCCCGTGAGTGAGGCCCGGCCAGGGTGAGGATGGCCT